GCCGGCTGCTGGCTGTGCCTGCTCAAGTGTTTTTCATCACACATTCAGTGCAGCGTGTAAATACCTTTACTAGCAGGTTGCAAGGAAGATGTGCTTGTCCAAAAGGCCATTGGATTAGATTTAAAAAGGCTAAAATTAAATCCTAGAAAATAAATGGCGTGGAGAGAAATGTTTAACTGAAATTTTCAAGGGGGTAAAACAAACCTCATTCCTATCCATGTTCTGGAAGCATTCCACAGTTACACATCACAGTAGGAAAATTCACACTGAATGCTACACAAGCTTACTCAACCCCTATGAATAAACTGCAGTCAACACCTCTAGCATCTCACTTAGTGTATTACAGTTAAGAAACAGTTTGCCTTCATACGACAGAGACTGCTATAGATATTAAAACGCACCATCTGGTGAAACAGCCCTGCAACTGTAGGAAGCAGAGCATGAAGTCCTCTATCAGTACAACGCCAGCAAATCCCTGTCATTGCACAAAGATACCTGAGCACATTACGGTGAACACATGGCAGCCACTGCTTCTGGAAGCTCAGCCTTCAGCTAGTATCAGAGCCTGTGTAACTGAGGATGTAATCGCAGGATCTCTTTTCAAGCTAAGAAAAGCTAGACTGTGCATCAGGAATTGCACAGACCATTCATGGAAGTCTTCAAGCAAATGTACTGCGTGTAGTTTCAGAATACCCATCCACACAGCCATAGAGATAACTGAGTTTAAGCTTAAGCACAAGTGCTGTTCTATAGCTTACCAGTCAGAGCGAGGCCTGTGCACATACATTACCAGTTCAACTCAAAAAATGCACTTTCAGCACTTAACCCTGACATTTTCAACACCTCGAGATTCCGAAATCCTACCGGCAATTCTCTCTCACTACAGAGTAACACCAAATCCTGTACAAGGCATGTTTGTATCTTTATGTGCAAATAACCTGCAACCTGAATATTCACTCAAGCTGAAAGTCTAGAATTTGAAGATTCACATATGGGCATTAGAACTGAAAGGAACTACATATTATTAAGACAGAAGAAATAACACAATGACTGCCATTAACGAGTTGCACACTTGAATAAGCTCCTTGTTCAATTAACACTCACCTTTTTCCAGAATTTTAAATGAGAAGTTGGAGGGTCCATCTTGTGCTGAGGGAGCCACATTGGATGCCTTGCTGTCCAAAGGTTTCTGAGATGCACTGCAGCTTTTGGATGGTTCAGCTACTCCCACTTTTTTCTGTTCTGCTTTCTGAGATGCTGAAATATCATCTGTGCTTTTTCTTGGAGGATTAAAGCTGAATCCAAAGAGGGAACCGGTGGCTGAAGTATTTCCAAATGTGAATGTCTTTGACTTCTCATTACTGAAAATGCTCTTGACAGATTCAGATCCAAATACAAACTTTGGAGGAGAAACCACTGTTTTGGGTGGCGTTTCAGAGGTACTTCTCGATACCTCTAAAGCTTCTACAACAGTGTCAGAAGTATCATCACCATGGCTGAGGTCAGTTCTTTCCCTGGTAGTTTCTTCCAGTACAGCTACAGCGTTCTTACCACAAGGAGATTCTTTTGCTGTATTGGTACGAGAAACGTGAGGCGTTATCAATGTGCCTTTCTCTTGGGCTTGCTTTGCTTCATCAAAAGTTTGCTTAAACGAGTCTGCAACATCCTGCAGTTTGAACCGCACTGCCAGCAGCTCTACTTTCCTTTCCCCGTCTGCAAAATCGCATGCGGTCCACACCCATACTCTGTCAGATCCTTTCATTTGTTGCATATTCATATCTGGCGTTATTCTGTGGTTGGCACAGAGTTTTAGTACCTGATCCCTTCTCATTACTATACGTGCTTGTTTGCTGTCATAGTTCTGCAGTATCTTGATATCCCCAATACCTCTCTCCTTCCATTGGTTTGTGTCTTTATCGTATCTATAGAGTTTAGCTCTATGACTGAAGACAACTTGCTCATTTTCCTCGCCACTAGTCACTTCCACAAGGTCAGGCAGAGGTACTACAGGTTCGAAGTACTGCCCATCTCTCTCCTCCTCTTGAGTAAGATCAGAATCTTCATCCGTGCCCACAGATGTTCCACTCTGGTTCTGCTTGGCAGGAGATTTGGATGGACTCAAGGCAGATTTAAAGCTGAAATTGAAGCCTGCTGTAGACTCTCCAAATCTAAACAGATTTTTCCTTACAGGGCTGCTTGCAAGAGGTGATGCATACACAGAGCTACTTAAGCTGTCATCCAATGCTTCCTCACGCAGCTCACAGTTGCTCCACTCCACAGCAGGCCCAGTACCTTCAGCGTGTGGCTCTGTAACAGAATCAGAAGTGCCACCAGCACAGGCAGAGTTTACGTTTTCTTCTTCTGCTAGTTTAGTTTTGTCATCCGTCAGAAACGTTTTGAGATCTTTTAAGCCGGTCTTCATTTCTTCTGCTTTCTGTATAAGCTGAGCTGTCCTGCCCGTATCGACAAGTTTATGGGGTGTCTGCAGTGGTATATCTAGCAGTAGCTTCTGACACTCTTCAAACTTCTGTTTGAACTCCTCAGCCTGCTCTGGTGTTTTGAACTTCGCTGCCAGCTGTTCCAGCTTTGCATCGCCATCAGAGAAGTCACTGGCCATCCACATCCATGCTTTGTCTGAGCCCGACAGCTGTTTCAAGTTCATAGTTGTTGTGATCCAGTGATTTGCACATACCTTCAGTACCTGCTCGCGTCGCATGAGTATCCTTACTTTGCCATTCACTTCATTTTTAAGAATCTTCAGGTTGCCCACCCCACGTTCTTTCCACTGGCTTGTTTCTGGATCAAACCTGAATAGCTTCACTCTTTGGGAGTACAGCACTTTCTCATCCTCCTCTCCTGTAAACAGCTCTACTTTTTCAGGCATCTGAACTATCGGTTCAAAATGAATATCATCACTGTCCTCAGTCTTGTACACATCGTCATCCTTTTCACCAAGATCAGCAGAGGTGCTTGCTCTGTGACCAGTCTGAGAAACCTTTGAAGAAAACAGCTGTTCACCTGCACCTGAGAAGCCTTCAAAGTTAGGATCTTTTTTGCCAAACTGAAAGCCTTCACTGGGGGTACTTTTTGCAAGATCAGCAAAAGTAAAAGTACTACTGCTGTTCTGGCCAAAAGTAAACTCACCCTTGTCCTTGTCTGCTGTTTCCTCAGATTGGAGTGTAACTCCACTACTTGAAGGCAGTTCATTTTTGTCTTTTTCGTCAATGTTTTTCAAGTCTGTTGTACACTCCTTGGGTGGATCATCTTTCTTACTAGTATTTTTATTGGATTCCTGTATGCCAAATTTAAATCCACCTGGAGGCATCAACATTGAAAAGTTAAATCCTTCCTTTGCAGGTTTTGCTTCAGCATCTCCAAGATTCTGAAATGTAAATGCTGGTGTTTTCCCTTGATCAGCATGACCAAACTTAAAGCTTTTTCCTAAGAATTCACACTTAAAACCCGTTCCCAGTTGTCCTCCAACAGGTTCAGATGATTTACTTTTCAAGTCAGAAGTCAACAACGAAACATCACTGGTAGGCTTACTAGATGGATTTGGTGTTTGGCAAGATACACAAGCTGGTGAGGAACCTTCGTTCCTTACAAAACAAGTATTACAATCCCACTGTCCTTCCTTTTTAGCAAAAAGCTCTGCAAATGCATTCTTCTGAGGTTTACCTGCGTCAGTAGCAGATCCAAAGCTGGGAGCAGGAAGCGCCTGAACAGCAGATACTGGCACATGTGGTTGACCTTGAGAGTTAGGACTGTGACAAGAACGACAGTTTTCATCATTTGCTTTGCTCTGGGTGAGGCGTACAGAGCAGTTCCACTGACCTTTCAGTGAAAAAGCAGTTCCCAACTCATTCTGAGTGGTCTTTGGAGCATCTAGTCGTTCCAGTTTAAAGGAAAATTGTTGAGGAGATACTTCTGAATTAGTTTTGCTTGGATTCTGGCAGGCAACACTTTTTGTGGCAGTGGGTTCATTTCTGACTGAACAGATACTACAGTCCCACTGACCTTCCTTTTTAGCAAAGGCAGATCCTAATTTGTCCTGTGTGGCACTACTGCTGGCTTTGAAACTTGCAGCAGATTCACTTACCGGGATGCCATGTGTGTCCCACACATCTGGATTTGGGCTTTGGCATGAGACACAGTTCTTAGCAGTTGCTTCGTTTGGAACTAAACATACTTTACACTCCCACTGATTCTTCTTCAAGGGAGACTGTCCAAATCCACCAGAGGAATAGGTTTGTATGGCTTCCTTTCCAAATGAAAAAGTGCCAGGGGCAGTTGACGTTGATGTAAAACTGCCTTTGCTGTCAGATTCGCTGGTCACACTATCTTTTGAGAACCGAAATACGGAGTTCAAGATCCCTAATGTTGACCCGCAAGACTCCTTGGTATCTTGACTTGTTGCCTCTTTAGCAGTTCCAGTGCTCCGAGTCAAGGATGCATCAGCACTTGATCCTGATGTTTTTAACATATTCTGACACTCCTCAAACTTACTTTTGAAAAGCATTGCTTCCTCTGGTGTTTTAAATCGAATTGCCAGCTGTTCTGGCTTTGGCAGCTCATCTGCATAATCTAAAGCATGCCATACAAATGATCTATCTGATCCAGCATTTGGAGTTAATTTCATATCAGTATTTATGTAGTGATTTGCACAGATTTTTAGTACTTGGTCCCTTCTCATTAAGAGACGGAATTTGCCAGATACTTTGTGTTTCAGTATTTTCACATTTCCAATACCTCTTTCTTTCCACTCTTTAGATTCTGCATCAAACCGGAACAGTTTAGCTCTGTTGCAGAAGAACTCTTCTTCATCTTCCTCGCCTGTCTTTACTTCAATCTTGTCAGGGAGTGGCACCACAGGTTCAAAATGAGGTCCATCATCATCCTCATCACCACCATGGGTGCTTCCTCCCTCTGTTTCATGACTTCTATTGGCCAAGTCAGAATTTGAAGTCATAAATAATTGCTTGCTTGGTTCTTGGAAGTTAAACATTTCACTCTTCTCAAAAGACAGGTTTTTATGCGCATTTTGTCCCACGCTGTCTGTAAGAGAGACACCTGAAGTATGCTTATTACTGAAACTGAAGACATTTCTTTGGCCACTTGCATGACTGTTAACTCCTTTTTGTTCAATGCACCTCTCATCTTGTAAAGGTTTGTCTGATGTTAAAAGCTTCAAAAGGCGTTCACTGCTGTTAAAAGCTCCATTAGCAGGCTGTGTGGCAGCTAAAGGAGAAGAAAAGGTGAAGTCCCCATCATTAGATTTGAAGTTAGGGTTGAATTTAAAAGTTGTTGGCTGAGGCGGCTTCGACCCTTCAGCTGCTCCCGGCTGCCCAAATTTAGCTTTTGAAAATTCTACCCCTTTGGATTCTGCAGGTTTTAAAGTCGTGGGTGCAACCGAAGGTTTTGTAAAATAGCCTGGTTCAGGTAGTGGTGGATTGGTGCTCGCCTGTGGAACACTGTAGTTGTAGTAATCATCGCCTCCACGAGGTGAAATGATTCCAGCAGCAGGAGCATCAAAACGCAAAGGTGTAGCATAGATGTCTTGAGGAAACACACCGGCACAAGTGTTCTGCAGAGGTGGGGTGTGGATCGGTTGTTGATAAGCATATATATGTTGCTGAGGTGCAAGTCTGTTCATGCCGTAGACAGGCGCCTGAAGAACAAACACAATCACTTCATTGTGGAAAAGGAGAAAAAGGTCTCAGGCTGCTAAAGCCCACCCAACATGTACTCTTAATAACAAGGTGAGCTTTACAATTACATTTTGACTCTAATCCGTTTAAACTAAAATCGTATGTTCAAAACTTGAATGGTATCTGAAAACGTGGACTGAAGGGAAGCGCAAGCTGAATGGACTCATTATTGCTACTAGAAAACAAACAAAACATAGAGTAAAAACCACCAAGTTCCCATGCTGTTTTGGGGAAAAGAACATCACAGACACAGAGCAGAGAACATATATTAGGCACGTTAAAAACATTTGGCTGGCCGTTTCTCCCAAACCACGCATCACAAACAATAGCTGATAATGGATCTTTCTGCCTGTCTCCAGCAGAGCTCAAGTTTACTAAATGCCACCTAGGGAACTGCAGTACTTCTATCCAACTACACCCAGAATCAAAACCAGTTGTTTTCAATAAGTCAGTCGAAATTGCTTGAGCAGATACATTTGTCCTCACCTTTGTTGGTGTTACATTGGTTGCAGCAGTTCTTAGAAGATACTGTGAGTTATAAGCAGGTGACTGGCTATAGTACACAGATGGGCCAGTGGTAGCAACTGAAAATGAACACCAAGAAAAGAATTTATATCCAATTTGTGCTACTGATTTCAATTAACATCCCCCGAGGATCAGTTCTGCTCATTCGGCAAACAACACTGCAGAAAGATTTTAACAAGTCTTACTCGGTACAACTAAGTGTCTAATCAAAATTCAGCATCAACTTACCCGTTAAAGGAGCTTCATGAAGATTTTGTGCTCTCTGATAACCATCTGGCATAGGATCAGTTCCATAGCTTTCAGCAGGCCACCGATGAGATGATACACTTACGTTGGAACTGTTGAGTTTCATTTCCTGCATTTCATTCTATTCAAGAAGCGTTTCAGTTAAGAGAGTATAAACGTATTACACAGCTATTTGAAGGAAACCTAAGGAACGATCCCTACTCCCCTGTTATTTAAAAGCATCTTCAAGGTCTGAGACAAAAAAAAAAAGTTAACTGCTGCAATAATCCACCACCTGCCTATGGTGTACACAACTGAGATTGTTCCCTGAAGCCAGAAATAAAAAACCCAGAACCAAAGAGGACAAGAGCTAAGCTGAAGAAAGCAAAACTATCTGAACAGGCAGTCCCTACAAGCATTACCTCCTCCAAAGTTGTTTACCTTTAAAGCTTCCACTTGCTGACAGAGCATCTGAAGTAAGGACTTATGATCTTCTGCCCACTGAGGAAGAGTTTTAGGAGAAAACTGGAAAAAAACAAAGCTTATTATAGAACTTCAGTTTTTTTATACAAATGTAACACATCCCTAGAAGAGTAATTGGCTAATATACCTTGTAGGTATTAGTTGGTGAGAAAGATAATTTCTTAGGTGATGGAATGGAATGTTTTACTTCCAGATGTGCAGCTTGTGAGATGTTTCCGGAGGCAAAACTTTCCTCTTCATCATTCTCCCCAAGCTCCTGGCTCACTGCATTCAGCATTTCCGTTACAGTTTCCATAGATACTGGCAGCTAAAAATTTGAAACACAAGTCATGATTGCAATTCTTGATCTGAGGAAGAGACTGTGTTCTGATCTATGGCTGAACAGTACACAAGGCTTTCACTACAGAAATTCTAGGCTTTTTTTGTTGTTCTTTCCTTCGCAGGAAAGCCCTACATCTGTTACAATTAAGGTAAGAGGACAGTTCACACAAGCATTAATTCTATTTGGAAACTATCAACCTCACAAAGACAGTGAGCACAAGCTATTTGTTTACACAAAAGCCATCAGAGAACATCTACAGAGAATCAAAAACATTTCATAATCCGATACCTTCACAGAATCTTCCCAGGATACACCACATAATGGAGTAAAGACATTTATTTGGCTTGATGAAACACCATAAGCCTAACTGGTCATGAAGCAAAATCTGTTTTGAGAAGTCTGACTTGAAAGCAAATTGTCTCATTTTGCACCAGTAAGCTAAACCACTCCATCTCTCCAAACAAGATGTTAAGCAGGAATTACTTACTTTGTCAGCTACTGATGGATCAGAGGAGCTTTCATTGATGATCTTCATCAGGTAATGCTTTCTTTTAAGAAGATAGGTTTTGTGCTCTTCTTGTTCTTCTGGCAACATATCATCGCTCTCAATCTCCTCTGCCTTTCTTTGGCAAAGCTACGCAACAGTACATTGATTAATAAGAATTGGTCAGAATGCAAGCAAAAGAAAAGCATTTTCAGGTAATGCAATTTACAGACTTACTATGGCAAGATTCCAGTATGAAACCACGTTCTTAATAGCTTCAAATGCTAATAAAGCATCATCGGTTTTGCCTTCAACCGCGTCCAACATTGCAAATGCTATATGTGCCTCTTCTTCATAGGCTGCAACCTGAAAGACCTACAGCCAAAGCAAAAGACAACTCACATGTAATGTGTATGTGGACATTGGAACAGTCAGTAACTGTAAACATCTAGTAAGCAATCAGACAGGAGGAGGTTAATAATATTACTAGCTTTCCTGCGATACAGAAAAACAGCTTTTCCATAAAACTGGTACTAAGGGAGTTCAGTGCCTTCCACTCTGATAGTTTTAAAGCTGAATAGTTCCACAGACAGATACTACCAAATCTTAGCATTAGCAATACAATGACAAAAAAAACAAACCCTAACAACACGCAAAACCAACCGAACCACAAAAAGAAAACAACAAAAAAACACTATAAAAAAAACCCACAACCAATTTACGTGTAAGATTGTGACATAAAACCCCTCTTACTCTCATCTTGGAATGATCAATCTGTACCTGAATGTCCACACTATGGAAATGGTTGAACAGAGGATCAGTAGGCTCAGGAATACTTTTGTGCTTTTTGATCATTTTCAAAGCAAGCAAAGTTTTCTTCCAGTAGTAGGCACTTCTTCCAATATATTCTTTCTGGTCGTAGAAGGAGGTAAGGCTAGTGCCCTGTTGGAGAAATTGAAACTATTGCAGAAAATGCAAATAAAATGTTATTCACGCTTTCTTATTCATACTTTTTCTTCTCTGATGCAGTTGTTTTCTTGACAAGTTTCAAGAATTTTTCTCTGATGCTTGTGATGTATTTCAGGAAGTCACAGAAAGTAACACACAGGTAGAAAATACATCACTTTTAACTGCGTTGTTAAGAGAGTAGTGAGGGAGAGAGAACTTGTCAGATAAATTAGTTGCTCTAGTCATCCTATCAAAATTAGCAGCAGCTCTCAATACTACATTCTCATCTGATTTTATTTGGTCAGTTCAGTTTGCAGAATTAGAGAAAAACAGATGGTACTTATTCACA